ACGAACCCGCTTTCGCAAACTTTTTTCTCAAAACCAGTTACAAATACAAGGTCGCGTTCTTACGTGATCTTGTATTTTTGGTTCATGGACTGAAGAGGGTTAAAGTGAAAGTACATAACGTACATGAACAAAGCTGATGGTGACGGTGACGCACAAATTAGCTCAACTTTCAACTTCGCTTATGCGTTAGCGTCAAATGACAACTATTCTGTGTTTTATTTACATATTTGAATTAAATTTTTTTCAGTTTGCTATTTTTGCAAAGAGTAGCAGCGAGCTTTTGATTTTACGGACGCAATGGTGAACGAATAGTATGTAACTTGCCGCATAAGCACCGTTGACGCTGACATTGACGGTGACGGTGCCGGTGGCGCAATGGACGTTGTATACTTTCCCTTTTACCGTGGCTCTCTCATTTCTGCTGTCATTTTCAAGTTAAGAAACGCTTTTCGGACTAAATCCGACAATTTCTGGGAGACAACTACCGGTTCGATACGATATCGTGAATGATGCGATAACAAAAAGAAGCAAAGAGCCTCAAACAGGTTCGATACGGTACACTACTGTGCTTCATCTTTCTTATGGCAATCTCCATATTCCGAATACTTCAAATCATATAATATGGTGTAGCGATTATTAATTCCATTTCGGCTATCTAAAATGAACGAGTCACTCATATTGTGCGATAAATGTGCATTTTTTTTTTGTGTTGTGCAGTTCAGTACATTTTTTTAACCACAGATTGTCAAAGTTGGGGGAAAAAATATCAAATATTAAAAATCCGAAAATATGCACAGTTTTATAATGGGCCGTTAATATTTTTAAAGTACATTGCATTTAAATATTCTTTTTTTTTTGTATTTGCACTACTAATCCCCCCCTATTTCCGTTTATCAATCAATCATTGTCGTCAAGCTCAACTAACGGTAGGCTCAAGAAAAGGGCAGTTTCAACAGGGTCGGGCCGAAAGGAGAGGGGTCTTAGTTGAGTGGTATTTATCTGACATGTGAAGAGGTGGTTGGTGTCGTGCCGGGAGTCTCCACATGCCGGTCACTCATTGTGGATATTGGGGTCGAGTCTAGACAGGTAGCTGTTGATGCGGCTTCAGTATCCAGACCGAAACTGGTGCGGGCATCTCTTGGCAGTTGAAGCTGAATGTCTGACACAGGTAGTGATTGGGCCCCGATCACGGCATTCATAGGCCAGGAGTCGTGGTAGGTTATGACCGACTCCCTATGTATGCCATTGATCGGTCGTCGGTGCGTCGTCGGATCTAGTGGTTGGTTGATGTATGTCTGGACCGCGACCTATAAACGAATGGGTGCCGCCCGACGTGCCCGGGCGGATGGTCCTCCTCTAGCAAGGGTTTGTTGGGGTTTTCACTTATGTGACATTCCAACAGAAATTGCTTACTGACCATTTTGTTATGCTCCCTTACGGTGAACATTTGGGCCTGTGTAGTCGATGTCCAGAGTGCGGCGTTCGGACAAGTATGCAGCTTCGTCCACTGCGTCCAACTACTCCCCAGCAGAGCTGCCAACCATACTTAGCTAGAAGTGCCATATTGAGGATAAAAAAGAGCCAAAATGTGCCAAATAAAAAAATAAAAGTGCCAAAAAAGGTGCCATTCTCTTTAATTCTTCCTCCAATTCAGCATTAAAATTAAAAACACATTCCTAAATCAGAAGTCCAATGCCAAAGTAAGACAAACCAGTTGCATGCACTATAGAAATTAAAAAATTTGAGTTGAGAAAAGGAAGTGCACGCAAAAGATTCCACTAATATGTATAGAAATATTACTATTTTTCAAGTGCCATTTAGGCACTTTGTGCCAAATTCCAAAATCAAATGCCATTTGAGCTAAGTTGGCAGCCCTGCTCCCCAGCGACCAAAAAGGCGCAGAATAAGTAAGACCGACCGGCCAGTCGACTTGTATGTTGCCAGTAACATTTCTTTGTTTTTGCCCCAGGTGCTGCCGGCGAGCGCGAAGGAGAGCAGGCTATGAAAGATAACCCCTAAAGTTTTCGGGTTCTTCACCCTCGGAATTAATGTGCCATCGACGTGTATGCCTAATTGAAGCCTGGTCTCCTTTATTCAGGTGGTGAGGAGGGACGCCATTGATTTCGGTGGAGAGTAAGGCTCGTTGCAGTGAAGAAGCGAGAAATCTCGGATATTGCCGTTTTCTTTTGAGTAGAGGTCATCAATTCCCTTTCCGGACGCCAATGTAGAGCAGTCGTCAGCGTGTGTGATCAGTGAAATTCCCTTCGGTGGCTGAGGGAGCTTCGAGAAGTAGAAGTTAAACAATAAGGGGAAGAGGACTCCACCCTGTGGAACCCCTTTTTTAATTCTTCTGGAGTTTGATCTCTGAAGATTACTTACGACTGTCGACCACTCATATAATTCGCCGACCGCCGTTTGAGTCCCTGTGGGAGGAAGCCTTAATATCTTTTGGTAGCGTGAAAAGACAAACAGTGTCAAACACCTTTCACAAGTCCAGCTTTACTACGATTGTTCTTCCAAAGGGGCGGTTACGGTTTAGGCCATGAGTTTGCAGGGTTTTATGGCGTTAAGTGCTGTTGTTGTGTCGTGCAGTTTACGGAAACATGATGATGCTTCACTGGGGTCAGGTATTGTATAAAGTACGTGAATAGCAGGGCCTCAAGTGTCATCGCGACCGGGGAAAGGAGCGTTATCGGGCGATACGAGTCTTATTTGTTGGCAGGTTCCAGCAGTGGGACCACTCTCCCCGATTTTCACACATCGGGAATGATGTAAGTGGCCATTGACAGATTAGAGGACCTCGGTGAAATATGCTACTCCCACAGCATCAGCATCAGCATGCGAATTTCGTCGGGTTCAGTGGATTTGGAGGCTTTCGCCTTCTCGATGGCCACCTTCACTTCACTTTTGGGAAGTCTGTGCAGCTTCCTGGTCTGCCGACGTTTGGCTCCGTCTACCGAAGATTTTGCTTGCTTGTTTTTTTTTTTAATTTTCGTTATGAGGGCTGCCTCAGCTTAAAAAGTTTCATCTACAAAGCGTTTGCTTGTTCTGAATGTGTTTGTTTACGTTCTTTTAATTTTCAAAAACAAACAATGCAATAAAACTGTTCATGTGGCTTCATTCGATGTAAATTCACCATTATTTTTGATAAAATTTACCGTAGACATTATCTGCAAGTTCAGAAAAGGGATTTCTGTTTTTTTTTTGAGATTTGAGTAGATTGGCAGGTTTCCCCAACGCCAGGTTATCCCTCTGCTTTAATAGGTCTGTAGCAAAAGGTTACACGAAAGTGCACCTGAGCACCGTGTGTGCATACTATGATATAATCGGAGATGTATCCTTCAAAACGGCAGCGGATTTCTGCAATTTAATGCATTTTCGTGTGACTAAGGATGATACCACAGTGAAGACGAATGTGACAGTGAGAGAGTTGGCTTATGCGGTTGAATAGCGGTTTCCAAACGTCAGCGATAATTTTGTGCGTGTTGGCCTCGATAATGTTGACGTTTGTATATTGGGTATACATAAATATATGATGACATTTTGGAAGCTAAAGGTGTAGGTGTGGTAGTTGGGTTGTGATGCGGTGCGGCAGGATTTGAGTGAGGTGGACGGTATTAACACCTGTGGTAACTATGATTATTTCAAAATTCGGCTTCGGATTTTGTTAGAAAATTTGCCAGTTCAGTGATTTTGCGGTAGTAGAAACCACGAAAAATCTCGGTAAAATCAGTGCAGTTGTGGACGACTTCGAAGCCCTCCCGAACATTTGCAAGTAAACTGCAGTGGAGCGTCTGATGGGCATAGTAATCAGTAGCGCCACAGCTACAAATATTGGCGCTTATCACACTTAAATATACGATGTAGATATTCATTACCCTAGGTGTAACCAGTCAGTATTCTATTTACCGATTTTTATATCTTTTGGGATTAATTTGTTAAACCAAGTCTTTTGTGGCTTCTGCGTACAAATTTGTGCGATTAGGTTGTGTTTGGTGTGGGAGAAATAGGGATTTCTTTTCATGAGTTTTTTAATTTAGATCCAAAAGTAAATATTGGAGTCGGCATTTTTCCGTGTATACGAATATACATACATATGTACATATGTGTTTACGCTTTTTCACTGTATATCGATGTTTGTCTTAAGTTTTGTTTGGTACTCTATTACCTTGTCCGGAGCTCGAATCACTTTCCGGTATAGTTTGTGTGGTCTCGCTTACATTGTTAATCGGTTTGGTAGATCGATTTCTTAAACATCTGCAAAGTAATCATAACTAAAATCAATTTTAAAGCAGGAACTAAATAAACTACCTGTCCATTTTCCATTAGCTGGTATTCCATTTACATTAGGAATAGAGATTTTGTAAATATTAATCGAAATAGAATAATATAAAAGTATCGAATTTCTCTGAGTTGCCATATAGCCACAAATAAATAAGTTTTAGTCAACACTTGTAATTTGAATATATTCGCAAATACAACTAAAACTTTCCGGAGCTAAAAAGTTCTAGATAATTTTTTAGAGATCTAAAAAGAACTAACAGCCAAATTTCAAAGCTAAATAGAAAAATAAAGAGCTAAATCTAGCTCCAAAAGTGCTATCTGGCAACAGTGTTGCCGCGGCGTTCAGAAGAAATGTATCACCAAAATTCTCTAAAATGGATCAAAAGCATAATGAAAAAAAATTTTGAGTATCAAAGTATCAATCTTTAATATCTCTTCGAATTCTTAAATTTAAATGGTAGTTTGAACTTTTAATTGTGATCGTTGACAATTTTTATTAATATTTTTTGGTTTTTATATAAAATACAGAGTGAAAATAAAGCGTTTGTACTCGGTAACTGTTGAATTCATTTGCATACTTAACTAAAATCACATATCAAATTGGTGTTTAACACTTTAAAGACATAAAATAGTTTTCACAATACTTACTGGATTACTCTAGATGAGATTCTTAAGCCAGTGTTACACGATTGGTACATTTGTATATTTTGGCAGTTACAGAGTAGTGTTGTTTGGAAATTCTTTTAGGCTGCATTTCTTTATTCTTCTTTCATTCTGAACGTTTGGAATAAACTTTTTGTTTACTTATTCTTTAGAACGTTTCTGATGATATGTGAAATGGCTATGAAATGGGATTATACGGAATGTATAAAGGAACGCGGCATTACCGAGCTGAACCCGAATTTCTAAAGAACACTGTGACTGCCAAAATGTACAAATCTGTACAAACGTACCAGTCGTGTGACTGGGCCTTTAGCCCAGTACCATATCCGACAGCTTCAAAATAAAAAAGGAAAAGTAACGACAATACTAGCCTGTTCCCACACTTCATGATTTAGTGAGAAACTGTTCGCAAAATATATGATAAATGTGTGAATGGAAACGACTTCGGGCTATTTCGAACTAAATCCTGGAGTTCGGGAACAGGCAAGTTGTGTGTAGCAGTGATGTCATATCCAGATTAAAGGTGGTATGTTCAATGAAAGGAAACAAACTTAATGTGTGGCCACGAAATCATAAAAGTCTTAAATGTGTTCTTACACGATATGTATTTGCATGTGTACATGCCACTTTGTACATATGGAAATGTCAACATATCGTGTAAAAGCAAATTAGATTTGTTTCTGTACAAAGCAGACACACGTACATATGAAATAGAAATGTTTATATTTTCATCTGACAAACAGATAGAATCATCTGAGTTTAGTTTATTCTGTTTTCAAAGAAAGTATTTTTAAATAGTTAAGTAAATACTGTGAATTTGACAGGCATACGCAATTATATATGTATTGAAAAAGTCACATTTACAGATGCAAATACATATCGTGTAAGGACACCTTAGATGGGAAGAGTACCCTCGACTTGTGAATTAAAATGTATCACAATTTATACTGAGTACATGCAAAGAACGTAAATCTATAAGATGAGACAACACGTTATAATTGTAGCGCGTGTGAACATCAGGAGCGTGTCTTCTCTTTTCATCCAATCACAAAACGTATTTTTATAATATTTTATTAATTAATTTTCCTGCAGCTAGAAAAAGTGCCAGCGAATAGGACCGGGCCAGTGAAATCTTCGATATATTTCCGATAAATATTAGAGAAGGCTACGATTCTTTCGTCATTCGTATGATAATCCGATCTGAATTACCTACAAATGAGGTAATTCGCTCACAAAATTTTCGTAAGGTAATTGCATGGCGAATGACGAATGGAAGAGCGAACTACGAAGCGTGGAAACGTCGTATAATACCTTGCCTACAAGAGTTGACACTGACGAAAAAGAATACTTACTATCCACTTGAAAAACATCTACCAAATCCTGAAAATTTATACCAATAAATTATTTAAATAAAAACTATAGTTATATTTATTATGTTATTTCATTTCATTTCATTTCATTATTTCAATCAAAAATTATAAAACTAAAGATAACAACGAAACAGCAAAAACCGCTTGTTTATTTTTTTAATATTTACAATGATTTTCAAGTAAATTTTTTTTGCTAGTTTTTATTTTTTGTGAGAATATTGCTTGCGCTTCAACCAAACATATAAAAATGAAAAAATCAAGCCCCATATATTGTTTTTGATAATTCACAAAAATTTCGAATAACTCTTCAAGTTTTTACTCTGAATTTTTATAACATTTTTTGGAACGCAGTTTTATAGCCCATGGAATTTTGTGGAACCAAAAAAGCTAAACTTTTTTTTTTTATTTGACACTTACCATTTATAAAAGCTGGTGTTAATTACATATTAGTTAATTACATATCAGTTAATTTTATTTTTTTTAATTTAAGAACCTTTTAAAATATTTAGGTCATCAAAAGCTCCTCACGATTCCAGCAAAATTTGTTTTGAATGGAACACCATACGTTCAGTTTTATCGATAACTTTTTATAAAAATATAGTTCACAGTACAACAAAAAAACATAAATACTCGAGAAATTTCAAAAAAATTGCAACTTTCTAATCAGATAAAAAAAATGTAAGTATGCAGTTTTATAGCCCGTTTAATTTTAGTNACGTCCTCACTTGGTGAAAATTCAGCAACAAATGAGGCGATTTTACCATCCACATCGCAAGCGGTTTGATCAAACGTCAACATGGCGGTCAGAAAATCAAAAAATTTTGATTTTTGCTCAAATTTCCCTCAAGCGGTTTGTCAAACCTTCAAACACCCCCATAGACAACACAAATGGATTGAAACAAAGGGATATTTCGCTTGGTTTGTCAAGCCGCTTGTGTTGTGTATTTCGCTCTTTACTCGTTGAACCAAAGAATTTGGTTTTCTTTCGGTTCCCATTATTAAAAGTTATGGGTTTCTTCCATTATCCTGACGTGAACATGGCGGCCAGAAACTCAGCAAATTTTGATTTTTGTTCAAATTTCCCTCAAACGGTTTGCAAAACTACAAACACCGCCATACACAACACAGCGAAGGGATATTTCGCTTGGTTTATCAAGCCGCTTGTGTTGTGTATTTCGCGCTTTAGAACATTTGGCGGTTGGGCAATGCATGGAATTTCGCATTAGTTATTTTATAAATTTTAAGTGATATTGCGGCTGAATTATATAAAAACTTAAGGAAATCGTAATTCCAGTGATAGCAATGAGTGCAAACGGCAATGCGATGTAAGTAGAAGATTGCAAAAAGATCGTGAATATGTATAAAAACTCATTTCTGCAGCACCGATTGGAAGCGCCTCTGGCAGTTGGTATCTGGCATACACCATGAGACACCGGAAAGTACCGTGCGGGAAGAATTGCTTAATGTATCGAAAGAGTTGCAGGATGGTGTGCTGCAGTTTCGTAAACGTTCTGCGTCGAATGTAAAATTGGAAGACTTGCTGAAGGAAAAGAAGCAACAAAAATTGCTACCATTCACGCAGAATTTGCAAGAGCTCTTGGTATGAAAACAATAGATGAATTATGACTTTCTTTGAAATTTGCACTAATATTACCCGTTTGTATGTTAGGACCTGGAGTCCCAACAATGTTGGGAGATACTTTGCTACTACCTAACCAACGAATATCGCGGCTCTGCAAGTTCGCTCACCGCACACATTTCTTCGGAGAGTAACATGAGCAAACTCCTAGATGACATATGGGGATACTATACACTTGAACGTATGATCGTTTTGAAAATCGTTAAAAATTTGTTACTTTTCTACAAAGTTCCTAACCATCCCTATCATGCGCAATACAAAGAAATTTTAAATAAAATTACACTGCCAAAACTGCGCGATTCCTACCTCAATCAGCTGGAGCAACTAATCAACGAGTATCCGCCTAACCAGTTGGCCAACGGTGAATTTTTCGATTATCATACGCGTCTAATTGTCTGGTCAGAAGGAAATGCACGCGAAATTAACGAAGTTCTACACGTTCTACTGCTTATTTGCGAGCATTTGCCATTTGAACTAAAGCATATCGAAAAACTATTCAACTGCTTTAGACAGCACACTTTTGGGCGCCAGCAAAGTTATTTAGACATCGGAAAGCCCTTGCATAACGAACTGATGACACGCTTAGCATATTCGGAGACCATATTGTTATTGAAGTGTTTTGATTTAGAAGACACTGCTTCAACATTGGCGTTAAATATTATCGATTCCTTAGATAAGGAAATAATACGAATGTATCATAATCCAGAAAATGGGCCACTTTTATTGTCGTGGATGTTACTCAAAATTCGTTTTACAAAAGCTACAGAGGAAGAAGAGACGTTCTTGCCATGCCAGCTTATGGGAAAGAGGGCCATTGGTCTAAGATGTTTTGAGTATTTACAAAATCTACTCACCAACACAATGTATAAGGTATCTATTGAGACATTTTCCGTACAAATATCAAAATAAGATTGGTGTTTTTAGGATGATTCCTTAGTTTCGCGCATTGCACGTAAAACTGTGTACAACATGCTTACGTATATGTGCGATTTCTTTGATGGGGATGGTTCCTGTGCACGTCATCCGTATATATATGAGCTTCTATGCGAGCTACTCTCTTGGCCATCATTGGCGAAGGAATTTTGCTCGGAAGAGGGTAATTACCCAAAAGTCAGATACTATATCCAAACACAAAGCCTAACTTCTCGTTTTTGCAGAAAAGGGCGTGCGCTCACTTTTCAATACACTTTTGGAAACATTTCCTATTGATTTTGTGCATCTTTCAATGCTAGCAAACTCACTAACCAAAGCGGGCATGTCTTCATTTGTAAGCAATTTAAAGCAAAACTATTTAAATGTCGATTATACTGCTTTGTTTTTTAGATAAAGGCCCAATTAGAGTCACTGCCCATATTTACCGATTTATACGATGAAAGTAAATACCCCTTGCGTGCCATCAACGAAGAGGACTACATTCTGACCGCCAAC